GAATATATTTTTCTTTTTTTTTTTCATAAGTCAATATGGTACTTTATTTTCACTCTTTAACCCTGCAGGTTAAGAGCACATTTACGCACAATTACGCTCTTAACTTCACAAGTTTATGTAAGAATGAGGCTATTTTAACTTGTATCAAAGAATATCTTATTTCTGCTGCTATAACCAACTAGTGTTTTATAGGCGTAAAGGGTTTTTTTTCTGCATCCAAATGGCTCCACACAGAATTGAATAATGGCTTAACTGTTCCAAATCAACCCTAATCAAATAAATGTTACACAGCCTGACTTGTTTGTTTACTCTGGTTTGTCTTTTTTTCTTTATTTAAACATATCTGAAGGCTCTGCGAAGCATTATATTTGTATAAAAGGCATTTCCTGACCAAGGAACCAGCAAAAGAGAGAGGTCCAATGTCTCGTCTCATAATTGGTCTGTAAGTTCAGAGTTTGGAGGAAAGTGGCTGCTCTGTCTAACACTAAGTGGAAGAGTTTGATCTGTTGACACAAAGATAAGAGACGACAGCAGGCTGCAGGTGCCTGTAGCCCTGAGAGCAGGTTATGGGCGCTGTGGCTTGTCAACACAGTATTGAGATGAATACTGGAAGATCGAGTGGTCTCTTGACTTGACCGTATCCCAGAGGGGTCTGGCAAAGAGAGAGAGTGAGAGAGTGTGTGTGTGTATGTGTCTGTATATAAGAGAATGTGTGACAGAAAGGGGGCGCTCTGGGCCTTGAAATCCGGCGTCCACAATGAGCCCTGCTGCAGTGAGAGAGAGTTGGAGGCGCACGGTGCATGGGAGTCCGCTGGTTTGGTTTGAGGTCCGACTCTCCAAAATTTCAAGATTTCTCTCTCCCTCTGGATGAACCCTGAGCAGGCGAATACGGTGGTGATCAGAGGCAAGAAAAACGATGGCCTGGAGTCACTGGCACAGACTGCTTTTTTAAAAGTTGTCACTTTTGTAGGTCTGTAATTGTAGAAGTTCTGTATAGTTTTTTTTTA